CTCTGTCTCAAAAAAAAAAAATTCCTTTTATAAACACAGATTCCCCTTTCTTCCTAACCAAACAGCCAAGTCAGGGGAGACTATATAATCCATGCTGCCTCTAAAACTAGGAATGGGAATATCTGAGAACAACATTTCTAAGGGACTTAACTACAAGTTGATTTTATAATAAGCCCTTTTTCTTGTCTTAATAACTGAAATCTCCAAACAAGGTAGTCCTTTTTGAACTCCTGTTTTGTTTTGTTTTGTTTTGTTTTGTTTTGTTTTGTTTTGTGACAGAGTGTCACTTTGTTCCCCAGGCTAGAGTGAGTGCCATGGAGTCAGCCTAGCTCACAGCAACCTCAAACTCCTGAGCTCAAGCAATCCTCCTGCCTCAGCCTCCCAAGTAGCTGGGACTACAGGCATGTGCCACCATGCCCGGCTCATTTTTTCTATATATATTAGTTGGCCAATTTCTATTTTTAGTAGAGACGGGGTCTCGATCTTGCTCAGGCTGGTTTTGAACTCCTGACCTCGAGCAGTCCTCCTGCCTCGGCCTCCCAGAGTGCTAGGATTACAAGCGTGAGCCACTGTGCCCAGCCTAAGGTAGTCCTTTTGTCACAGCACAGACAATGGTCTTTTCTGTCTATGCAGAATGAGAACTGATGTCTAATACTATGTCCTCTGGCAAGTAAACTTTCCTTCACACGCCTCCCAGCAAGACACAGTCGTTTTAAGAGTGAATATATTCAAGATAAACTTCCCAAGAAAATCCTTAACACTCAAGTCAAGCATGTATAGGAATACATATCGGTAACCAGCAGCTACCCCTCCCTGGATTGTGACTTGCCAGGGACCACCTGTCCTGGAGTCTGGGTAATGGAGGAGTTCTGGTCTTGTGATAGGTACTGCAGCAGGGATAGGAACTATGGCAGGTCCCTGTTTACAGACCAGATGGCCAAGTATTTCATTGTGAAACTGATTTTAGAGTGGTCCTATTTGGTCTTTAGTATTTTAGCCTTTTAGTTGACATTGGTCACTCAGCTTATGATGAATACTGCTCCAGAACTGACCAAAGATGGGCAAAATGTTTCACTCCAAACACTATTGATTCAGCATTGTTTTCATGCATTAAATTACCAGCTGCTCGTTGTTTCTGCACTATTATGTAGTGCATTTTAACTTAATTTTTTTAACAACATGTTATTTAAGATACATTACTGATATTGCATTAGAATTAGTCCACCTTCCTTGTGAAACAAGTGTAAAATGTAAAAAATGATACCTGTGTGGTTGCTAATAAAATCATGGTATTTTGTGTAGTTTCTTTGAAGACCTTAGAGACCCTCAGCTTTGGTTTATAAGTCTGTCTTGGTCTTATCAGCCCATCTCATCTAGCTCAGTATTTCTTTTAGAGCTGTTTGCTTCCTCTGCCCTGATAAATTCAGCTATGGTGGTACGGGGTGTGTGTGTGGGGGGGGTTGCCTAAACAAATTCACTCAAAAGTGCCCTTGGCGTGATTATCCACTCTTGTCCAGGCCTACAGTCCCATCCCCACAACACATGTCACCACACATGCTGCTTTTGGAATTGGCACTTTGAACTCCATTTGTCTGCATATCATTTAGGGTGGGTGATAACCAGTATAGCCATATGGCATAGCCTTGGCTTCACCCCCAGTATTGTCTTTTTCGAGTACAGAAACTAACTTGCATTAAGGCTTTGTACTAGCATCATCCCCACTATACAGCCAAGGAAGCTGAACTGCAGATAGGTTAAACATCTTGTCCAGGTTTACATGATGGCCAATTAATTTCTTTCTATTTTTAATAGAGGCGGGATCTTGCTCTTGCTCAGGCTGGTTTGGAACTCCTGACCTTGAGCAATCCGCCGGCCTTGGCCTCCCAGAGTGCTAGGATTACAGGCGTGAGCCACCACACCCCACTAGGTTTACATGATGATAGAAGAGGGATTTGAACTCAAGTTGCCTGAATCCAAGGCCTGTGGTCTCTGTAGTCTATCATATTGCCTCATTGTATCATGCTGTTTCTAGATCTTTTGTTCCTCTCTCTTCCTTATCTACCCCCTCATTTCACCCTCACTTTGGAGAGCAGAAAGTATTTTCCACACAATTGTGAGAAATTTCAGCTGCCAAAGGACTGGGCTGCAAGGAGATAGGCAGACACCCGTGGCTCTGCCAAGTTCTTCATAAAGCCTAAAGGTGTGTATTGACTGAGACAGCCCCACCAGCATCTCAGCATTCAGATATCTGCTAGGGACTGATATCATCTGCATGTAACTGAGAACAGAGCTCTGTTCTTGGCTGGGAGTAAGACTGGACAAGGGAGGAGAAGGAGGGCCAGTCTACCCAGATCTAAGGATATGCAAGAATGGAATGAAAATGAACCATAAATATGTATCCAATGAAAGTGCAACATCTATTGTTGTATAAGTATAATCTGCAAAGTTATGTTAAAAGATTTCTAAAGTGCTCTGTAATCATTTATTCATTATTAAGCACCTACCAGTTACCTGGGCCAGGCTAGAAGCTGAGGAAAGAAATAAGTAAAACCTCCCTGCCCTCAAGGAGTACTAGATCTAGCAAAAAAATACTAAACCAATAGGAGATTTGGGGAGTTTGTTAAAATACACATTGCTGGGGCCTAAGAATTTGCATTTTTTTTTTTTTTGAGACAGAAGTCTCGCTTTGTGTCCCAGGCTAGAGTGAGTGCCGTGGCATCAGTCTAGTTCACAGCAACTCAAACTCCTGGGCTCAAGCGATCCTACTGCCTCAGCCTCCCGAGTAGCTGGGACTACAGGCATGTGCCACCATGCACAGCTAATTTTTTCTATATATATATTAGTTGGCCAATTAATTTCTTTCTAATTTTATAGTAGAGATGGGGTCTCGCTCTTGCTCAGGCTGGTTTCAAACTCCTGACCTTGAGCAATCCGCCCGCCTCTGCCTCCCAGAGTGCTAAGATTACAGGCGTGAGCCACTGCGCCTGGCCAGAATTTGCATTTTTTTAATAAATTCTATTTTATTTATTTACTTTTTTTTGAGACAGAGTCTCACACTGCTGTGGCATCAGCCTAGCTCACAGCAATCTCAAACTCCTGAGCTCAAGTGATCTTCCTGCCTTAGCCTCCCAAGTAGCTGGGACTACAGGCAGATGATGTCAGCCCGGCTGACATCTATTTTTAGTAGTTACTGGGGTCTCACCCTTGCTCAGACAGGTCTCAACTCCTGAGCTCAAGTGATCCTCCTATCTCTGCCTCCCAGAGGGCTAGGATTATAGGCATGAGCCACCAGGCCTGGCCAGAATTTGCATTTCTAACAAGTTCCCAGGTTTATGGTGATACTGCCGGTATGGGGACCACACTGTGAGAACCACTAAGATATGTTCTGTAATAAAAGTAAATACAGATTGGATTGCTGAGGAAGCACAAAGAAAGATTAATTCTGCTAGAGAAAGTTCTGGAATAGCCTGGGAAGATGGATAGGATTTTGCCTGTCTATGTGGAAGGAAGAAAGACAAGAAACAGCCTGAATAAAGACCATAGAGGAAAAAAAAAAAAAGACCAGCAAAAGAGATTGCGTCTTTAGGAGTAAGTTAGCTGTCTAGAACCTAGGGATTATATGAAGGGAGGAGAGTTGTAGGAACTTATGCTGGTCACTGGTTGGAGATGCTTCTTTGATAAGCATCCAAGCAATTCCCCACCAAAGTTGGAGGAGGGACTGGAGAAGAGAAAGATCTAGCCAGGTGTGGTGGCTCACACCTGTAGTCCCAGCTACTTTGGAAGCTGAGGCAGGAGGATGGCTTGAGTCCAGGAGTTGGAGGCTACAGTGAGTTATGACACCACTGCACTCTAGCCCAGGCAATAGAGCAAGACTCTGTCTCCAATAACAACAATAAATATATATATATATGTGTGTGTGTGTGTGTATACGTATATATAATAGAAAAAAAAATTGGAATGGGATCCTGATGGCTGTGGGGAAAATTGCATCCCTGGAGAGCCTCAAAAAAGAACTGATGAAACCCTGATTGTTCCCACAATTTGCATAAGACAAATCCTGTACATTCAGAGAAGCAGAAACTGAGTTTCTCTTCCCCTTACACTCGGAAAACAACCATCTGAAAACACTATTCTGGTGAGTGATGGGAAATGAATCAGTTCAAGAGCCAAGTAGACCTGGGTTCGGATCTAGCCTTGACTCCCATTTATGCCAGTGATTAGCATAAACCTCAAGTAATTTATCTTCTCTGAATCAGTTTCATGTCAAAATGGGAAGAAAATGCCTAAGATACAGAGTTGTGAGGCTTTAACAGGCTATCGACTTACATAAAGTGCCTAGGATCTTGCTTGGGAGAGAAGAGATGCTCAGTATGTTGACACGGTAAACTGTGGGCTCAGGAGTTAAGACTGCTTCAGTCTGAGTCTCAGCTGCACCACTTACTGTGGACTTTGGGCAAATTAATCTCTCTGAACAGTCTCTTCAACAGTAGAATGGAGATAATAATAGTACCCATCCCCTAGTGTTATGAGAACCAAATCAGATAATGTACATAAATAGACTTACTCGGCCTCATTAACCTCCCTCAAGCTCATTCTACTTGGTAATGTCTATGACACCACTAGATTTTGAATGTTGAGGGCAAATACTCTTTTTTCATCTTTGTCTACCCCTTTAGCCTAACAATGCACACAGTAGGCACCAATAAACGTCCTATTTTGTTTCCTGCGTCTTCCAAGAGAAAAAAGCAATTTCAGACTATGCCTCCCTCCCAGGGCCAGAGAGGGGAACTACAACGATGCTGAGCGGCTGAGTCTAAAGGGTGCGCACGCACACACCGCCGTTACTCCGCTTTCCGCTGGGCAGACACAAGACTCCTTTGCTCTTGTCTGCTGCGGGAGCTGCTAATAAAGTTTCATTCAAATGTGTGAGGGGCCCGACCAGGCCTTCGCCTCACGAACTGCTTTCGCCAGCTACAGATTCTGAGCGCTGCTCAAGGAGCGCGGCGAGGCCTGAGGGGCGGGACCGGAAGTGAGATCACCCCTCCCCGGGGTGAAAGGTTAGCGGAAGTGCCGTTCCTTCCTTTCTGCTGTAGGAGCAGCTGGGTGCTGTCGGTGAGTAGATGCTTGGTCTGTGTCTTCTAATCCGCTGCCATCCGCGTTCTGGGGGTCGAGGGCCAGGGCAGCGCCGGGTGGGTTCTGTTCCTGGGTCTCTGGCGGCGCCATAGCCGATCTTGTCCTGCGAGCAGAGCCTGCGGGCGGCCTGGGCCAAGACGGCAGTGAGCACAGTCTGAAGTCCTGGGCCCCAAGCCCCGGACTTGCGGGCAGGAGTCGGCTCAGGGGTTCTTTATTTCACAGATTTCTAAGCGGCCCCTTCTTGCTCTCTGCAGAAATGGGCAAGTTCATGAAACCCGGGAAAGTGGTGCTGGTCCTGGCCGGACGCTACTCTGGACGGAAAGCAGTCATCGTGAAGGTACCAGCCTCGCGGGCCTCTACGCCCTGGCGTCCGGGACCAGACCCGCTGTGGAGGGCGGACAGGCTTGGACTTCAAGACCTACTTCTAGGCAGTAGCGGCTGAGCACGGTGGGGGGGAATGGTGAATGCATTCATGCATGAGAGCTTTTGGGAGAGGAAAACGCAAAGTAAAAACAAACGTACACTGAATTGGGCACCTAACGCATAACGCGTCTCCACCTAAAAGGTTTTAATACTGGCCAGCATTCATTGAACGCTTGCTCCGTGCCCACCGCTGCCTTCCAGGTGATGGTGTTTGCAACCCTGTAGTAGCCATAGGAGGGATGGTCCTTTCAACTACTGAGGTTAAGAGGTGTCCAGTGATTTACCTGACGTGAAACAGGTAGTTAGGTTTTGCAGCTGGGATTCTTTAAGAAGACAAATTGCTTTTAGTCAAAATGGTTGCTTAACATTCTAGCCCTTTACTATTTGCCTTCTACCTACGTTTTTGGAGCTTCTTGTGAAATTTCGACTCTGGCCACATATACTAGTGGGTTTTACTGTTGTGGGGACACAGGAGTACCACTCCTTCCCCTTTTCCCATCTACATGGGACTAGTCTCTGGAGTTAGGCTGTGGTTGGAGTCCTGGTTCTGTCTGATTACACTTTACTAAAAGTGTAATCATAGAGGATGTTAGTAAGATGTAAAGTCCTCAGAACAGAACATGGCCAAAGCAAGCACTCCATGGTGTTAACTGTTGTTCTTTTAAATCTCTTACCTCTTATAACCCTCTCCAGAGACTTCCTGGTGGAAATAAATACTGTCCTGTTAACTCTTTGGGCATCAAGCATAGCATTGTGATTTTTCTGTCACAGTAGTGGGTCTCAGCGACCTGGGAGTGGGTTTTTTTTTCTGTACATGTGATACGTCTAGCACAAAGCATAAACAGGCCCTCGATGAGTAACAAGTCTTAATTTTTGCTCATTTAGAACATTGATGATGGCACTTCAGACCGTCCCTACAGCCACGCCCTGGTGGCTGGAATTGACCGCTATCCCCGCAAAGTGACAGCTGCCATGGGCAAGAAGAAGATCGCCAAGCGATCAAAGATCAAGTCTTTTGTGAAAGTTTATAACTATAATCACCTCATGCCCACAAGGTGAGCATTTCAAGAACTGGAATTTTTTTATTTCTTCTCTTTGCCCTGCTGACCAAGGAGATGATCTCACGGCCATTCCAAAGCCAGGAAGGGGTATCCTTTCCAGTTTGTCAACTCTTCAACTTGTAAAGTGGCTGTGGTTTCTAGTCTTGCCTCTTTCATCCATTTTGGAGCCCTGGTCCTGTTATCTTGTGTTCCCTGACTAAGCCATGCAATATTGAAAAATCTCTTCAAAGCTTGTACTTTATCTATTTCTGTCTTCACCTGAAAAAGGCCTCTTGAGTGTTGCATAAACTGTTACATTTGTTTTCTGTTCACAGTAAACATAGGCATAGGGTCTGATCTGCCCTTCTGCTGTTCCACCCTCAAGGTGGAATTACTATGATTACTGTAGTCTTTCAAAAATGGTTGGTAGCTCAGGTGCTAAGCTGGCTGCTCGCGCCTATAATCCTAGCACTTTGGGTGACTAAGGCGGGAGGATTGCTTGAGGCCAGGCTGAGCAAGAACGAGACCCTCATCTGTACAAAAAATATGAAAAAATGGGCCAGGTGTGCTTGTTTGCGCCTGTATTCCCAGCTACTCAGGAGCCTGAGGCAGGAGTATCCCTTGAGCCCAGGAGTTTGAGGTTGCTGTGAGCTATGGTGACACCACTGCCCTCTAGCCCTAGCAACAGGTTGGTGAGAGTGAAAGCAAGCTGTCCCCCTGTTGATCTGTTCACCTGCTGAACCCTTTACTCCTCTCCTTCCACAGTATTCTACAGCATATATGCTATTTTGGTACAAGGGTTTTAAAGAAATAAGAGGATTGAGAGTCCGATTAATAATTGCCAGAACCAAGCCGTGTGTACCTTAAAGTTTGCTGCTGGGACTGCATGTCTTATCATGGTTTGCTGATCTTAAAAGGGCAGAGCTGTTTTCTGAGGTGCTGGGATGCTGTGAGGTAACTAGCTGCCTGGCTTTTTTGTGTTCTTATGAGACTGGCTGCATTGGCAGAACTTGAATAACATTGAGTAAATGGCTCTAACTAGTAGAGAGCTAGGCAACTGCTGTGATGGAAGTAGAGGACTGATGTGAGGCTTCTTAGCTAGAAAAATAGAGTAGCTGTGGGAATTGATGATGAAATATGGTGGCTTAAATCCATGTAAATGAGTGCTAAAATGTGGATTTCCAAAGAATGTCCTCAGGACACAGCTTTTTTTTTTTTTTTTTGAGAGACAGAGTCTCACTCTAATGCCTGGGCTAGAGTGTCGTGGCGTCAGCCTGGCTCACAGCAACCTCAAACTCCTGGGCTCAAGCAATACTTCTGCCTCAGCCTCTCCAGTAGCTGAACTACAGGCATGTGCCACCACGCCTGGCTAATTTTTTATATATACTTTTAGTTGTCTAGCTAATTTCTATTTTTATTAGAGATTGGGTCTCTTGCTCAGGCTAGTCTCTAACTCCTGAGCTCAAATGATCCACCCACCTCAGCCTCCGAGAGTGCTAGGATTACAGGCGTGAGCCACTGTGCCTGGCCAGGACACAGCTTGTGATAATTACTCCTGAGGAGTCAGGCTTGACTTCCCAGTGTCACTTGGGATTAGCCCTGGCAGTACAAGGGCTAATCCTGCCTCTCCACTGTTGTCCCCAGGTACTCTGTGGACATACCCTTGGACAAAACTGTCGTCAACAAGGATGTCTTCAGAGACCCTGCTCTTAAACGCAAGGCCCGACGGGAGGCCAAGGTCAAGTTTGAAGAGAGGTAAGTAGGTTTCGGCAGTGGATATTCGGGTACAGTGTCACTATTCCCCATGAGAAGACTTTTGTCTTCCTGTTCCTCTCCTCACTGGTTTCTTTTTTTTCACCCCTTCTAGGTACAAGACGGGCAAGAATAAGTGGTTCTTCCAGAAGCTGCGGTTTTAAGTGTTTTTTTGTTTCGGTCATTAAAAATACTTTAAAAATCCTTGTGTCTGCCTGCTGCATGTATTATCAGACTGGGAAAAGGAGAACATTCAAAGGATAAGAGATACTGGGTAGTGGATGAAGGGCTGTGGAGGAACTGAAAAGTTGAATCCGGTCAGACACTGGCTTGCACCTGTGATCCCAGTTGCTTGGGAGGCCCAGGCCATGCTGGACAAAATAGCAAGACCCTGTCTCTAAAAAAAGAATTTTTTTTTTTTGAGACAGTTTCACTTTGTTGCCCAGGCTAGAGTGAGTGCCATGGCATCACCCTAGCTTACAGCAACCTCAAACTTCTGGGTTCATGCAATCCTTCTGCCTCAGCCTCCCAAGTAGCTGGGACTACAGGCATGCGCCACCATGCCCGGCTGATTTTTTTCTATATATATTAGTTGGCCAATTAATTTCTTTCTATTTTTATAGTAGAGACGGGGTCTCGCTCTTGCTCAGGCTGGTTTTGAACTCCTGAACTCGAGCGATCCGCCCACCTTGGCCTCCCAGAAGTGCTAGAATTACAGGCATGAGCCACTGCACCCAGCCAAAAAAATTTTTCTAAAGGTAAATCCACCTTGTGAGAATTGCACTACTTCTGTTCTTTTCCTGATAATCCTTTAATTCTGTGGCTGTGCTTGGTGGATAAAGGGTGACATACAGTGCCAAAAGGGCTACTTCTAACATTTTTAGGTGAGGTAATTCCTCACCTGTGCAGAATTATTTGGCCTCTCTGTCTTCTACCCATTATATGCCAGGAGAACCTCAGCTGCTCCCTGCCCATTCCCCCTTAAGATAACCAAAAGCCGCTGAGTGGGGACCACTAACCTGAGTGTTTGAGCCTTAGATCAGGTGGAACTCACCTGGATGGTTAGACCACAGATTGCCAAAGACACAGACTGATTTAGTAAGTCTGCATTTCTAGCAAGTTTTTAGGGACTGCCCTAGAGAAATACTCTGGCTAGTTGGGATGGATGCCAGTGATGAAGGCTTGAGCCCAGAGCAGCCATTTGGTAGGACAAAGAGCTTCCCAAACTGGCCATGGCAGGCAGAGTATCAAAGAGATGTGGTTCAAGGGGCTTGGGCACTGGGTTATGCCACTGCTGTGCAGGAAAGAGCTGATCCATCAGTTTACCGCACTAGTAGCTTAACTGTGACTGTTTTACTGATGAAATAGGTTCTCCAGCTGAACTCTTAAGGCAGTAGCTGGAACTACAATTCAAACTGGCTAGTTGTAAAGTCTTGCAATTGGCACCACACTTCCACCTGTGATAGGGGAGGGTCCAGGGGCTGAGTAACAGGGTAGGTAAGTAGTGAAAGAAACCCTGGACTAGGTGAAAGCATTAGGAAACAAATGTACTATGTACCGTGCCTTATGTACTTTTTGATTTGAATCTTCTCGCCCCTAAGTATTAATAGGCATCCATATTGAGACACTCCTGTTATGTAGCTTGCCTACTTAGGGTCACAGAAATAGAACTGAATTTAAACCTTTCTTTGACTAAAGATTTTGCAAGTTCTTTCCACTCTACCTGGAGGCCCAGGTTCAAATAAATACTGTCCTACCAAGTTTGGATATATGCTTCATAGCATTGTGACGTTGGGCAAGTTTCTAAATCTCTGCCTCAGTTTCCTCTGTAAAATGGAAAAATAGAACCAACTTCCTGGGGGTTATTTTGAAGAGTTAATTCATGTAAAGCAGAATGGTGTTGGGCAGTAACATCTTTCAATGCTGGCCACTATTACAGCTTTATTAATCTATCTGTCCTGGTAGCATTTTTTTTTTTTTTTTTGAGACAGTCTCACTCTGTGTTGTGGCGTCACCCTAGCTCACAGCAACCTCATACTCCTGGGCTCAAGTGATCCTTCTGCCTCAGCCTGCGGAGTAGCTGGGACTACAGGCATGTGCCACCATGCCTGGCTAATTTTTTCTTTTTTTGCAGGCCTTCTAGGCCTGTGTATCAGGGAACTGGCTAATTTTTTCTATATATTTTTAGTTGGCCAATGAATTTCTTTTTTTTCTTTTTCTTTTTTTTTTTTTTGAGACAGACTCTCACTTTGCTGCCCAGGCTACAGTAAGTGCCATGGCGTCAGCCTAGCTCACAGCAACCTCAAACTCCTGGGCTCAAGCAGTCCTCCTGTCTCAGCCTCCTGAGTAGCTGGGACTACAGGCATCCGCCACTGTGCCCGGCTAAGTTTTTCTATATATGTTAGTTGGCCAATTAATTTTTCTATTTTTAGTAGAGACAGGGTCTCTTGCTCAGGCTGGTTTCGAACTCCTGGCCTCGAGCAATCTGCCCGCCTCGGCCTCCCAGAGTGCTAGGATTACAGGCATTAGCCACCGTGCCCAGCCAATAAATTTCTATTTTTAGTAGAGACGGGGTCTCCCTCTTGCTCAGGCTGGTTTTGAACTCCTGACCTTGCACAATCCTCCTGCCTCAGCCTCCCAGAGTGCTAGGAGTACAGGCATGAGCCACCACGCCTGGCCCTGGTAGCATTTCTCATTCAGCTATTACTCTTTCTATGTGTGCACATGCCCAACATCATTCTAGGTTCTAGGGAAATACCCATTGAAACAAGGGCCACCAAGGAGCGTATGCTGGGATTGCTTACCCAGGAATGGCGACTGGAGCCTGTGTTCAGTTTGCAGTTCCTGTGCTGTAGCTTCCCTAGAGGCCTAGCTGGGTGGAGTCCTTGGAAGGCTCCTCCCAGGGCTGGGGAAGCCACAGCTGGGGGCACGTGAGCACCAAAGGGGCAGGGATTTCACGGAAATGAAAGTGGAAGCAAAGAGCCTGTTTGCAGAAGCTTCGGAAGTGAATTTCAGGTCCTGCTTGGGCTGGGGGAGACCAAAACCCCTCAGAGGATAGAAGCAAGAGTTCAGTCGCAGTGGACTGCCACTGTGTGCCCAGCTCTGAAGCCTCAGCTCTTGCCAAACCACCTGCAGGCCCATGTCAGCAAAGCTTGATGAGGTAAGTGGGGAGGAGGGACATGGGAGTGGGGAGAAACAGGAGCACCTCTCTTGGCCAGGAACCTGCAGCTGTCTCAGGATCTAGTGGCCAAGCCTCTCCCTGCACAATCACTTTAGACCTGCTAAAGGGCTGGGAAGAAACGCAGGGCTGGGATTCCTCTCCCCTATGGAGCTGGTTTCCTAACCTACTGCCTCAAAGAATTCTCTCATAACCAGTGCCATAGGAGCTCATGAATTCCTGTGTGAGTTTTTCTGGAAGGAGAATCCATAGTTTCCATCAGATATTCAGGGATATGTGACCCAGATAAGAATTGTTCTCATGGGTGATATATCCTTATCCCCTGAGATCTTCCCAAACTCTGCCTTCCTGAGAGTTACATCTCAACTCAACCTCGGGCCCTCTCCAGGTCCAGGAAAAGGTGTTCCTCCTCTGGTCCACCTTGACTCCTGAATGCCCCTACCTGTGCTAGACTAAGCTCTGTGAGGACTAATGCTCTGTCCTCCCTGGTCATCATCCATCCCCCGTGCCAGCACAGTGTGGCATGCAGCAGGCACTGAGTAGACACTGTTAAATGAATGGATCTTGCACCCTCTCCAGTTTTATCAGCCTTTCCCTCCCGGATACCACTCCTTCCATTACAAATACAGAGATCTCTCGCTTGGAAATTTTTCATTTGCCCCTCAAGTATAAGAAAGACCACAGGCTCTGGAGCCAGCTTGCCTGGTTTCAAATCCTGATCGTGTTCCATTGTGTGGCCCTGGGCAAATCATTAGCCTTTCTAAAGTGTACAGTCTAAGCTCTATTTCCTCATCTATAAGATGGAAGTGATATGAATACTTTCTCACAAGAATACCTACCTGTAAGAATTAAACTACAGAAATTATGCTGCAAGAATTAAACTAGATAATCCATAAATTAATACAGTAAAAACTTAGCCCATTGCGTACCACATACTGAGTGCTCAACACAGCTTGTTATTGTTAATATTGTTATTGCCAACTTTTCAAAACCCCAGTTCCCCAGGACAATTGATCCACCCCCACCTCACTCCTACCTCTGCTAAAACTGCTTTCTTAAAGGGCCTTTACATACCAAAAAGGAAGGAAAAAATGAAGAAAGGGGTGTTCAGAAAACTATATTAATACACTTGCTAATACAGCATTAAATTCATAATTGACAGACAAGTTCTGTTAACATTTTGGTGTTTATGTTCCTATTTTTATGCATTAATAACTATCCTTATCAATTCAAACTTTTAAAATCATAAGAATAGGGGCCTGGCATGGTGGCCCACTCCTAGCACTCTGGAAGGCCGAGGAGGGAGGATTGCTTGAAGCCAGGAGTTGAGACCAGCTTGAGCAAGAGACCCCATCCCTACTAAAAAATAGAGTAAGACCCTGCCTCAAAAACAAAAACAATGTGGCCAGGATTGGGAAGCAGAGCTCTGGGCCTGCTGAACCTTCCTGCCGTTGCCCTAAAAAAAATTTAGAAAAAACAAACAAATAAACAAAAAACTACCAATAGAATAGGGATCATACATTATATACAGTTTTTGTTTTTGTTTTTGAGACAGAGTCTCACTCTGTGGCCTGGGCTAGAGTGCCATGGCATCAGCCTAGCTCACAGCAACCTCACATTCCTGGGCTCAAGTGATCCTTCTGCCTCACCCTCCCGAGTAGCTGAGACTGCAGGCATGCGCCACCATGCTTGGCTAATTGTTTTTTTTTTGAGACAGAGTCTCACTTTGTGTCCCAGGCTAGAGTGAGTGCCGTGGCATCAGCCTCGCTCACAGCAACCTCAATCTCCTGAGCTCAAGTGATCCTACTGCCTCAGCCTCCCGAGTAGCTGGGACTACAGGCATGTGCCACCATGCCTGGCTAATTTTTTGTATATATATTTTTAGTTGGTCAATTAATTTCTTTATATTTTTAGTAGAGACAGGGTCTCGCTCAGGCTGGTTTCGAACTCCTGACCTTGAGTAATCCGCCTGCCTCGGCCTCCCAGAGTGCTAGGATTACAGGCATGAGCCACCTCGCCTGGCCTCCGGCTAATTTTTTCTATATATAGTTAGTTGTCCAATTAATTTCTTTCTATTTTTAGTAGAG